CCAAAGATACTCCTAAAATAGTAATAAGACTATGCGCTCAACTCTGAAGGTAGCCGCCCGCCTGGGCCCGCAATTTTGGGGCTTTTTGTACAAGACGTGTCCTGACCTGGAAACTACCAGTCCAAAATTCGGGATTCATAAAAATATTTCTACGATCCCTCCTGATTATGGCATGTCTTATTGTAAAAAAAAACCGAGGGATCACAAATTATTAACCCTAACCCTCCTCAATCCTTCACCTGTTGGAGGATTGAGGTGGGTTAGGGTGAATGAGCTTGCGCTCAGAATTCCAACCATTTGGTGAAATGCGTCCGACAGTGCTTCTCCCACATTAATTTGAAATAGCGCCCTCAAGTTTTGTGTTACATATAGGTGTCCAGTCTTGTGTGTGCGACATTCAGGAACTAAATAGTAAAACTACAAATTTGTGAGATCGTGATTACTTTGAAATTTTCCTCCATGTCAGTCGTGTTTGCTGAATTTACCTTTTTGGGGGGAGGGGTCTGGTTTTATGCCCTCATTCCCCAGGAGGCGTGACTGAACTACCCATAGCCTACAAACCTGTTTGAAATAACAGGTACATTTTGGAAGTATTGAGTTTGAAAAGGGAGCTACTTGACTATGCCATTTGGGTAACTCCGAATTCCGATATTAAACTTATGGCCAACGAGGCACGGATTAAAATGGGTAAGTGATGGATCAAACATTCACATTCACGAAAAGGAGCGGCAGATGCAACGCATTTGTGGCAACTTTTGGGGTCACCCAAGAAGATATGGAACGTATCTTTTGTGAGAATTTTTCTTTGAAAATATCAAATTACTCTGCAGTTGAAAGCCAACGGAATTTGTTGTTATAACAAATGAAAATGCATTTCCATCAATAAAAGTGGGAGGCGAGTGCCGCCCGACTGTGGCCCCCCCCCCGGATCTCTTACTATTGAATCTCCGATAATAAACATTATACGCCTGACAGCTTTTATACTGAGATCACTGAGAAGAAATGGACCCAAGACGGTTGGGATCGGTTTCACTGTCAAAAATTTCGGAAATGAATGAAAATAAATCAGCATCAATCCTGTAACTCATTGTATATCAA